TATATATGTTAAAATATTTTTGTGCGTTATACAGAACGAATCGGGTTTCCCATTACTGTAATGCTTTGCCTTAATCTTGCATTTCATGGCTTCTGTAATTTGGTTGTGCTAATTTTTTCTTAAGATTTCAGGTCTTTCTTACTGCCATGTTAGAAAACTATGAACTTAGTACTTTCATAGTTTTTGTTTTTATTTTTTATAATTTTGATGGGGAAATTTCTTGCTTTTGGGGAAAAATCATTGCCATTGATTGTAATTAGGTCTTCTTCTGTTGTTCTCCGCAGAAATATTTGGTTGCCTTATCTCCTTCTTGGGGAAATCCAATTTCTTGATTTTGTTTATTTGGAAAGGGAATTCAACGAAAATGGTATCGCAATAAATCTCTTTCCTTACCTCTCCCTTCCTCTGCTGGGTTACGTTTGTATTTCTTAATAGCTTTGATTATGATATTTATGGTTCCTATTCGCTTAAAAATAGTTGCTACATGGCAGGTTTATCATTCTAGTTTTGTTGATGAGGAAGGAATTGCTAAAGCCTGTGGCTGCCCTTTACTTCCTTTAAAAAGTCATATAAAGGGTCCTGCTCCTGTTTCAGATCGAGGTTGGATTTATGTTTTATCAGCTTCATTGGGTATTATGTTCTTTTCTTATTCTTGAGTTGATCATTCGAGATGGTTGTGTGCAGATAGAACAGATATTGTTGATGAGGCAATCACATTCTTTCGCGCCAACGTGTTCTTTAGAAACTTTGATATTAAGAGCCCTGCAGATAAGCTCCTTATATATTTGACTTTCTATATAAATGTGGCTCTGAAGAGGCTTGAAGGCTGTAGAACCTTGGCTGAAGGGACCAAGGCAATCATTAACTTGGGCTTGGAAAAGGTTCCTGTGCCTGGAGAATCTGGTTTTCCTTTCCCAGGGCTCTTTGCTCTTCCACAGTCTCAGAAGGAAGCAGGCAAATCTCCTTACTATTTTCTTTTCCATTTTGTAGTACATTAAATGTCTCATAGAATATTGAAATGCTGGCTATTTGTGAAACTTGTCCGGAGTATCAGTACCATATCATTTTAGTCACTCAGCTACTTCTCTGTACTTGATCTTTTTATTGTTTTTGTCTTTACTTATCTCACAACAATAACTTTGAATTATTTTTTCATAAACGATTGAGAATTATGAGAACGCAATGCACTTCCTTCTTTACCATTACAGTTTTGCTTAACAACTTGATGTCATTCTTGAATTTATGCTGATTTAACTTGAGGGGATCAAGTTGTTTAAAGAGCATCCTTGCCATGATTGTATCAAGTTGTTTTAAAAGCCTCTGTTTTGATGACCAAAAAATTTTGACTCTGTTTGTTTTCTAGTATTGCTTTGATCAATACACAATAAATGTTGTAGGAAGTTTGCAATGCTTATAATATTTCGTAAAACTATTGGTTTCTGTCTGCTACATGAAAGCTCCTTATCCTTTCTGATCATATTCGCTGCTTTGACTACTGAAGCTTTGATAATTTGCTATTGTATAATTTGTTAGTTTCTTAAATGCAGAACTGCTCAGGAATTATCTGAAGCAAATAAGAGAAGAAACGAGTGGGAGACTGTTGAGTGTCGCCTATAGGCCCAATGGAACTCCAAATAAATGGTGGTTAGCATTTGCTAAAAGGAAATTCATGAACATCATTGCTCCATGAAAAAATAACTGTTGAATATCCAATGAAAAGTAACTTGTAAAAGCAAGCTGAATTTTGATGTGAAAAGATGATATGTTTTGAATGTCTGTAATGAAGTTGACTTGTACATTTCGTCAGATTCTTTTGATGGAAATTAGTATTTTGTTGTCTTCATTGCTTCATGAGACAAGCAAGCAGAAAAAGCATCACTTTGGCTTCATGTTGTGCTTGCTGGTATAAAGCTTGGTTATGAGTTAACATGGGGGCTGAGGATTATGGTAGTGCTTTCTCTGGCATGTAAAAACACACCCTCCTTATCTTCA